TATTCACCGATAGACGATTTTTGGCTAATGCTAATAATGAGCATAACAACACATTTTTTAATCCATTCATTGATTTATCTTTTTCATTAAATCGTAGCCGAGTTTATGAACACAAATTTGAAACATCATACTATGTGTAATTGGATTTGCATAGACTCACAAAACAGAAAGAAGAAGTGAAACTGATGACCATGGGTGCCTTGTTTAGCTGGAAACTAATCGAGTAACCTCGTCAGAATCAAACCAATGTAACCTCGTTATAGAAATAAAAAGTCACGAAATGAATTCCCTGTTCATTTAATTTTACAGGCGGACATTCACAAATGTTGTCCAATACCTAGATTGTACCCTGATGAAATTTTGGACAGTTGTGGTATTGAGAAAGTAGATGAAGATGAAGAACCTAAACGTGGTCTATCAAAGGTAATCTTTCAACCAACATTAACCTATCAATAAACAAAATATTCCGTTACTTTTTTATTAATACGATATGATATATGACACGATTTGCATCAAGCTTTTTGTGCATACTATTAAGGAGTAGAAATCTTTGCCAGAGTCTTCAGGCTCTTTCCAGAAATACATTTCCTGAAAGGTATAACCTGGGTGTGGGTATCTTAAAGGCCCAAGGGAATAGATTGCTAATGGGTCGATGTGCTCCATCGTAAGCATCATCACTTACCACCCGGCTAGATTAGTGGTCAAACACCACTGTGGTTATGATTGATGGTTTTTTTAAACGTATCTGACTTTCCTTTCATCTTTTCTTCGTTTAAAAAGGTGGTGATAAAAAATATTACTGCAAAAGTCAAAGTCAAAGCCAAAGCATTTATTTCAATTAAACCATAATTTGGTACTTTTGAAACGTCAACAAATATAAAATAAATAATAATCTGTCAGTCAGTTCGTCAGTGAAGCTAAGTGAAGCTAGGTGCTTTTATTAAAGTGAAATTTGAAAAGTTTTATTTTATTTATTTGTAACCAGCTCGCGTGCAAAGACGGGATGTGTTTGATGAGAAAATCGAACCTGTTAACAGAAGACGAACGAGTTGATTACGAGAAATTAAGGGTTTACCTCGACCAATGGGCAGCAGACAACCCTGATTTCACTGAAGCTATTTTGGAAGCCAAAAAGCATTGCGCGTACAAAGAGAGTTCAGAATTCTCGAATTGTGACCCAGATCATATATACGTTTGCTTGACTGCACATATCATTTGGGTGAGTATCGCCCTAATTTTAAATTGTTCTTAAATATCGTTCCATCTCTGTCATTTTACAAAGACTCTGTAGTGACAGAACTATACTTCAGCGCGACTTTAAATTGAGTAACGTTTGAGTATTTGGACATATGTTTAATTTGTTTTTGCTGTTAATTGATATCTATTTCTACCAACCAAATTCAATAACCAAACTCAACTAGGTTTAAATAACTAAACTTATTACTTAAAAAAATATCAGGATTAAAAACATTGACATGATAATTGTAAGCAAAATTTGAATAGCAATAATTTTATCATGGATTTTTTTGTATCCTTAAGTAAAAACTAAGAAATGATCTTAGAATACTATGTAAATCTAAACAGTAACAAACAAAACAAGAAAACTAAATAAGACAAAATGTTTATAGTTACATATTATATTCTTCGAAGGTAAGTAACAGACCAATTGTTTAATTAATCTAATAATAATTCTTTTCAGCACTGTAAATTTAAGGACAATTCTGAGTGCAAAGAACTTCATGAACATATTGAAGAATGCAGGCCTTATTATTATCGGAAAGAAGACGAGAGCTTGGAATGGAACCCTAATACTGATACTAGACATAGATACGAATAGACACTCGTAATTTTGTTTTCGGATTTCGTTTGACACATATTTAGAACAATGATTTTGATTGGAGTCCATGAGTAAGAGTGGTCATAACTTGTGTTCCTAGTGCGTCTACTTTATAAAATTGTCTATTGTACCTTGTAATGTATATTGTAAATATACAACAATGTTCAACATACAAGTTCTTTTTTTAAACGTTGTGCAAACTAAGATTTTTCTTTTGTTGTGAGTGCGTTTACAAACATACAATTTTACATACGTACATATGATATCCAGACCCTGTTGGGTCTCAAAATCATGTGGGTCGCAAAAAAAATGCTCCGAGTGTTAATCGAACTCGCGGTACAGTGGCACACAATATTTTAGGACTCAGAAATATTTTAAAACTGCGACCAGCCATAAAAGTGAGCGACAGCAACCCCAAAAATTTCAGAGAGTACAGTTCTCAAACCACTTCTCGGATCTCCGGACAACGGAACTCCGGTTCGAAGTAGGAGTAGGTAACAGGGTGGTTTTTAATCAGTAACATTCTGACACTCTCTCTCACCAAAGGTAGGAGAAATCATAGGATGATTTTTCTCTACAAAAAGAAGCATAAGGCGTTGTCCAGCACAATGCATAATGTATTTCTGATAAAGGTTTTTTAATCAACAGATTATTCTTAACTTGTTAATATTTGACAGTTTTTAGTATGGAAAATTGACAATAATTCAAAATTATTTTTCCGATAAAATTTATTTGGCGTTAGAAAAATCAGTTCCAAATTAACTACAGCTACTAAACTACTAATATATCTACATATTCCCACATACGATATGATAACACGACTAGAAGATATTGCAGATTTTGCTAAATATTGTGATTTGAAACTGTCTACCAAGTCTATTTGGGTTGTTTCATTTTCTAAACATTCTTCTATTACTAAAACAGGTAATAAAAGTAGCGATTATCACACATATTGATCATTTGGTCGACAACTGTCTCTTGAAATCTATCATTCGTAAATCAAACTGTTTTATTAAATTCCGATCACACAATCTGTTTAATCGTAATGATAATTTTTACATTTGTACTCTCCTTTGTTTATAATGTAAGTATTTCTGTACCAAATTTTGAGAAATTGTGGATTTTAAATTGTAGATAAGTAAGTTGTAGTTATTTTTTGCATAATTACAGGTACTTGGTCAACCAGAACGTCTATTACCTCCAGTCCCAGAAAAATGTATTGGAACTACGGAAATGCATGTAAATATTATCAAAATAGTATTATCTAAGACTATTTTGAAATGTAGAATATCGCCATCTAGTGTTTGTATAGTGAACTACTAATACGTAGACTAGAAAATGGTTGCTCAGTGTTTCGTGTAGGAGCTGCAGTGTGGCGTTTAATAAATAATTTTCTTATTTTTTTTTAACAATAGTATAAAAACTGCTGCGTGTTCCCACCATTCTTCACTCGTGAGGTTGCCAAGGAGTGTGGAGGAACCATGGAGGTACTCTTCGTAGATCAAAAGAACAACGTAACTGGCTACCGGAGGCGAGCGTTCGATGTGAGTTTCTTTTGTTTATTTAAAAAAAAAACCAACCTAAGTAACTGCCGTACTCGCTGTCATTTAATTAAGATGATGAGTTTACGTCACAGAAGTCGTTAATAAGGAATAGTTTTAAATACGTAATCATTAAATGTCTCCTGAGTTCGACAGTGCCCAATAAGTTGCTAAGTACCTGCTTTGCCGCCAAAATTCCCACTTTATCTGGTGTCTTTCACTTGTTTTTGCAACCATGTGTACCTTTCAACGGCCAAGTCACACAACATTAACTATAATAATAAAGAAATCGCAGTAAGGAACCTTAGACGTGGACGACTTTGTCTAGATTTCATTACTTTTTAAAGATGAACAAGCGGCTCCATCGAGACTTGGCTAGTTTTTATAGAATGTTTTTGGTTGAATATATCTTATGCCTCCTTACTTACATTACTATTAAAAAGGTGAATAATAAATATGATGTTGAATTTCCTACATACTTACACAAATTATATCCATACGACATACATTCATGCATTGTGTCTAACTATCTACTACAATAGTACATTAAAATTTAAATAAGTAACATCAATTAAGCAAAAATTCCTATTTTATTTTATTTTTACTTAATTTTATACTACATTGTAAGACAAGTGTTTCACCAACTTATTCATTTTCAATTATAAGAAGTAATTTTACCAGAAAGTAAGAAAGAAAAATCGTTTATTTGTCAAACATGCGTTTACATAAACTGAGTAATCAGACATGCAAGATATTAAATAGTCCCTTGTGCGTCCATGTTTCGCTAATAGTGGTGTACAAGAATATCGATGTGGTTTTAACGTTAACACATACTATCTCCCTGACTACACCTTTGCTTAGCAAATAAAAACAGGTTGCTCATAGTCATAGGTAGGCGTGCTCCATCGTCGGCCACATCATTGCTTACTATCAGGCGAGATGGTGGTCAAACAGCGACCTATAAAGTATAAAAAAAGAATTAAAACATTAAATTTGATTTAACTGTTTTTAGTGCGACTACTGGAAATGTGTGCTCGACAAGTATGGTCTCCTAGCTCAATATGGTGACTTAGATGAACAAAAATTCTATGCTCATTTGGATCTCTGGGTATCATTAAACCCTATGTTCACTGATGCTATGACTGAAGCTAAATCATATTGTAAGGAAATCATAAGACTTTACCTACCTCTAGACGCCTGCGAGTTCTTCCACCTTCAATCATGCTTCAGAAATTATTTGAACGTGGTGAGTTACATTTACCTCTATATAGACTTTTATAACAGCACATTAAAGTCATTACATCTGCTTGGAAACGATAAGGAATAATAAGTTCTAATGACTCGCTATCAATTTCCTTACAAGTGTCTAATGTAATATTATATTTTACAGGACTGTCCTGTCGTCATACCTACAAAAGAATGTATTGAAAAGAAGGAATTCTACAGGGAATGCAGAGAATACTATCATAAGAGGAAATAATTGTAATCAAACGAATTAATAATAATAATTAATTGTTCTAGTTCCACAGTTTTATTTCTATAATGTTTTAGTTGTAGTATTTATTTCATTGCATTAAATATCAAGGAAAAATAAAGATACATAAATAAAAGAATCAAACAATTACTCAAAACATCGGATTTATTCTAATAATTGAAACTAAAGACAGTGAAATGACAATATTCCACGCTAACTTACTTAATTACACTACTTAATTATTCGCTATTACAGTACAATTTATGCATACATTCAACAATAATTCATCATTAGCATTCCTTTATACACACATGATATGAGACAGAGTAGCGTACGTCCAGCTGTACAATGCTCATTGTACCGTTTAACGAGCCTACTCTGCTGATACACTTATTAATACTGTCACGTAAATGCTCATAAAACAACTTTCATTATCACACGCACCAGTATTCCCTTATCACTTTCCTTTTAGGAATGTTGTTTAAACTAAGCTAACAGTCTTTGTAACGCCTTCAAGGGAGAAGCCGAGGGTTGTACCTTCCAAAGTACAATATCATACCCGATGGGTTGTGTCTCACGAAGTAGAGGAAGGGTCGATCGAATTTTAGACGAGCTGGCAGTGCACTCCTCGATGGTAGACGCGCCTGTCTTGGCCTCAGATGCAGAGGTAAATGCATCGCATCACCGACATCGTGTGGGTCGTGGAACGCTCTCTGGTAGTCTCTAGGCTCATCCCAATCGTTCAACCATCTAGCACGGCGTCTCTGTGCTACACTTAAGGTCTCGGGATACTCTTCAATATGATGTTGTTCTCCTATTCCATCTTCGCCGCAAGTAACGAATGTGTTCAACTGAACCATGTCCGACAAATAAAGATCCTTCGAAGGTCCATTCAAGCCACCTAGATCAGCATGCTCTCCATCAAATAAGTCTTTAAGTCCCATCTTTTTCAGGCTCATTGATACGTTGAAAGTTGATTTGTGTGAGAATCTTGGTATTTGAAGTTCCAAGCCAGTGCGAGGAAGTAATGTACGTAAGACTCGATTCCATGTAGGAGTAGTCGGCACAGCATCCAAAAGTCTTTGTTCAAGTTTTTCTAAGTCATCGGCATGTACAACGTTTCCTTGTTGACCAGGCATTAAGAAGAGTGTGCTGATAATGGAGTTAGTATTTCCTAATGCGGCTGCTGTTGCGTCGAGGACTGGATCGTATCCAGCTAAAAATCCTCTCTTGTAAACCACGGCTGGCACTGGAACGAGGCGACGTTGACGTACGTTGGGAGACACGACGAAGTACATCTCTCCATCCCGACCCTCCACTGAGGTGCCCGAGCAGTCAGTCTGAAAGAATGAATTATATCTTTTAACAAATTTTCACGAATATGCCTAAATGGAAGTTTTTCATGCCTAGATATTTTTGTATCATTTTAACATTTTTCAATAGAAAGACTACAAATAATAAAACATGTTTATGAATGCCGAACAAAAGCAGTATCGATCGTGAAGTTAACATTCGTATAGTGTTTCATCCATAAATTTTTCGCTGCTGCAAAGTATTTCCCATGTCGCGGAGAACCTAACGGATTCCCGGGGCTCCGACTCGACGTGCAGGAGAAGGAACGGGGTGGTTTTTAGTCAGTAAGAGTCTGACACTCCCTCCCGCCTCACCCAGGCGGGAGCAATCATTCGATGATATTCCCCCCTTAAAAAAAGGTATTTCCCGTAGAGAAATTACTCACCTCGAAAATATTGGCAGTAAAGGCAGCTAATGGTGGCTGCATCACGATGTTGTTGGTCTTCATGTACTCTGGAATCTTGCCCCAAGTATACCTCTTGACAAGAAGGTTGGTCCTTCTCCTAATTATGTCGCTAATCAATTTAAAGTTTATCTCCTCAACATGGCCATTATAAAAGTGTTGAGCCCTTTCTTTGTAGAAAGTCAGGATTTTTCCCTTATTCCTATCGCTGTAAAGTTCTCGAATAAATGCCGAAACAGCTACTCCTGATTCTGGAGTTGTTTCAATCGAGTCAGAAATGTTTTTCAACGTGAAATGTGGGTTGAATGTAACCATATCGTCTAATTTGAGGATCTCGTTCATTTCTCCAGATGTTGCTCCTCTAGCCCCCATGAAGATCATGGCTAACATTGAGAAAATAGAATAGGGAGATAAAACAAAACTTCTCTTTTTGTCGATGTCATCAATCATAACGTTCCAGAATCTAAACGCTAGTTCGTTGGATAATTCCGAAAACCGAGCTATATCTTCACCTAAGTCTTTTGTAGTTACTTCTAGTCCCTGGTTTTCTGTAGAAAATTCCAAAACAATATCTTTGTTCTCGTTGTTATCTGGTACGTAATGGTTTTCAGATTTAATTTTGTCCTTGGGAATCTCATTGGCTTTTGGAGGAGAAAGTGTAGGTATCAGTTTCCACGAACTGTTTCTTTCACTGACTAACTCTTCTTCTTCAATATTCACCTTTTGTATTTTCTTCTTAAAGTCATCTACTTTTGGTAATGGTTCGGGAAGTTTATCTTTTTTAATTGTACTAGATTTATCGCCAAGATTAATTTTATTGAACTTGGACTGGCTTATTTTTGATGGAGTAGGAGTCGTTGATGAGGTCGTTTCTGCAGTAGATGATGACGTAGTTATTTCTTCATTTGAAATAGCCTTTTCGTCGTTTTTACTTGCCTCTACAGTTTTGTTACCATTTTTGGTTTCCTTTTCATTTTGTATTTTGACTTTCTCATCATTTTCTTTTACAATGTTCACATCAGACTTTGTGTTATCTTTATTGATCGTCTTCATGTCGTCTTTATTGTTGACTGGTTTATCTAGTTTATTTTTGTTTTCAGAAGTAACTTGTTCTACTTTATTTTTATTATCAGATGAAACTGAGATTTGAACAAAATTATTATTATTATCATCATCGACTTTTTCGTCGGATTTATTTTCCTCTTTCTTACTTTCGACAGGTTTTGCAGTGGATGGCTTTTGATCTTGAACTTTAGTTATTTCATTCTTATTCTCATCTAATGACACACTAGCGATCTCACTTTTTACATTTTCTATCTTTGTTTCATCTGCATTTGTGGTTGAAATTACTGATGCCTCAGTAGTGGAACTTGTTTCTTTTTTCACTTTATTAGATATTTCTGAAGTTGTATCGATACTAAGTATAGAATCTTTTGTCGTAATATCCGAACTTTCCTCAGTTGTTGTAACTTTAGTATCTTTTTCGGAAGACGTTTCAGAATTAACTATCGATTGTGGTGCTTCATTTGCTACCTGAGACAATAAATCACCCATGGACTCGCTCAAAATTGGATCAATGGTACTATATTCAATGGCAGCCTCAGTTGTGGTAAATAACTCTACTTTTTGGATATTATTGATAATTATGTTATTTTTATCATTATCGTTACTTGTGGTTTTTGTTGGTTCCGATTTTTTAGTTTCAGTTGTTGATTTTTCAGTTTCCTTTGGCGGCACTTCTTTAAATGTATTTTCATTTTCTTTTTCTTTGGTATTTTCTTTATCTTCATTTTTATCATGGGGGTCAAGGGTGGATATTTTAACAAAATTATCATTATTAGTATCGGGAGCTGTAGTTGATTTAACTTCAGTTTCATTTCCACTACCAGATGGTATGTCCATATCCAAAACTTCTTTACTCTCTAAATCAAAAACATTTACTTTAGTTGTATCTAATAAATTGTTTGTCGTTGGGAGCGGTTGAAAGCCTCCACCAAGATCAGATGCTATTTGACTAATACTTTGAGCAACATCAAACATAGGAAGCAATGGTTCAGGTTCTTTATCATATTCCTCATTTTCTGAAGGATTATTTTCCATTTCACTCAGATTGTCAGCAGATGCGATTTCTGTAGACGATACTGTGGTTGAGGGTGATACAGACTGAGTTGTAATAGTAGTAACATTTAATTTTTCTTGTTCTTGATCTTTAACTGTGCTTAAAATGTAGTTTGTTGTACTGATAACCGGCTTATTAGTAGTTGCCAGTGTTTCAATTTTTGGAATTTCTGTAGTTGTAGTCGTTGGCACAGATCGTTTTGTAGTACTAGAAACTACTTCTGGTTTGCGCGTAGTTCGATCAGTTATATATTCGACAGTAGACACTGGAATGAAGGTGCTGATTCTTTCAAATTCGATTTCATTTTTTTCTGTTGATGAAACTGCATTGGCGTTTGGCTGAATTTGGACTTTGGCATTTTCAGGTTCTTTATCAGGCAAAACGCTTACACTATGTTTCTTTGTTGTAACTTCTGGCTTAGCTGTAGTTACTTTTGTAGTTGTAATAACTGGTTTAGATGTAGTTTGTTTAGTGGCTGTGGTTGTCGGACGAGGGCTTGCTGTAACTTCAGCTGTGGTAGCGGTAGAGCTTATTTTGGTTTCAGCATTTATTGTAGTCGGTTTTTTATTAGTGGTTGTAGAAGTAGTTGGTCTTTTGGTAGTAGTGGTAGTGGTAGTTGGAGCCTTAGTTGTAGTTGTAGGTTTTTTAGAAGTAGTAGTAGTTGTGGGTTGTTTAGTTGTAGTAGTGGTTGTTGTTGGTTTTTCAGTTGTCGTCGTCGTAGTTGTTGTTGTTGTTGTAGTAGTTGCTTTTTCAGTAGTCGTAGGCTTACGAGTTGTAGGTTTACGAGTAGTTGTTGTAGGTTTACGCGTCGTTGTTGTAGGTCTACGGGTCGTAGTTGTTGGTTTACGAGTTGTAGTTGTTGGTTTCGGTGTTGTAGTTGTAGTGGTCGTAGTTGTGGTAGTTGTACTTGTCGTGGTGGTCGGTTCTGGCTCTTCTTTAGATTCCACCGTTGCTGGTAATTTCTCAGTCACTACCTTTTCTTCTACTTGAGTTGTAGAACTACTAATGACTTGGTTGGTGCCTTCTTTACTTAGAGAGTTTTCTTCGTCTTCAACATTTTCTTCTAAAGTTTCTGTTTCTGGTGTTGTGACAGACCCAGACGCTTTGTCCAAAACAATATCAACTCCTGTATTGCCGAAAATTGAGGGTAAAATCAAACTCCAGGAATCAGAGACGTCTGGTGTGTCCAAAGTAGGCTGGAGCATGGGTTTGTTTTTATGAGCTTCCATTTGCGCTTTGAGGACATTTTGTACGTTAGTAACAACGCTATGAACTTTTGTGTAAGGCGGTTGGTTGATGTTGAAGGAAACTGTGGGTTGATTTTCATTGGCGAAGGTTACTAGGCCTTCAGCTTCTTCTCCTGCAGCGACGATTGCTTGTATTTCTTCAAGAGTCATCAGCCTCTTCACAAGTTCTCCAGATTCGTCAAATGTGTAGAACTCGTAGCGGTCTGGTGTCAGAAGATTCACGGGGCTACCGACAGTGGCTGGTACGTTGGACGGCGGTGGCAGTGAATTTCCGACGGCATCAGCGACGAACGGTAACTTGTTGCGTCTGAAATCATTACAAACAATATGTTAAGAATAGCAATATTATTTCTCGTAAAAGGTAAGAACCTCATTTTGAACTTTGATTTTCTTTTTAATCGACTTCAAAAAAGGAAGTTTTTAGTTTGACCTGTATGTATGTATGTTTGTACGCGATTATCTCGCGATTGGCTGAACCGATTTTGATGCGGTTTTCGGAAAAGAAAAGAGGGGTTTGAAATCGGTATTTTTAAACGTAATTTTAAAGTACTTGTTTTAACTAAACTAGATATTGTAGCGAATACTGACCTGTTATCATTTTTATCAGCCACCACGCAGGTGGTGGCGAGCACCAAACAGAGTAGAGCTCGCATCTTTACCGCCCATACACTCACCATGCACCTGGAACTGAGAGAAAAATATATTATTAGATTATCCTAAAACACGCATAAAAAATATTAAAGGTAATCTGGTAATGACATCCCCTATTATTATTTTATTATTATTTTATTATTTTTTATTTATTTATTTTTTTATTTATTTTTATTTTTATTATTGTCCTGCACATTTCAAATTTCAATAAGATCATTCATCTTTTGAAAAACTACATTTGCAAATATAATTATAATTAGTTTTATTTCGTCTCATATATAAATAATAATGTACTGGACCCCTTGCATGTTTATACTATTATATATTTTGTAGTGAATGTTAAGTTTAATTATGAGGCTTTAAAAATATAACCCATACATAGAAAAATAAATAAAACCACACATAACACTTTTTCCTTAGCGTTTTATCTCCGAAGGGGTAGGCAGAGGCACACATTACGGCACTTAATGCCACTGTACAATGTAACACCCACTTTTCACTATTTATGTTATGAGTTCCATGTAACAGGGAGTGAGACTACTGCCATATACCGGATACGATTCCAGGCTCCGTTCTACTACTGAGAATTTATAAAAAAAACCCAGTAATACTTTGCCCGACCCGGGAATCGAAACCCAGACCCCTTATCCAGCAATCGCATTTACCACCCCTCAACCAACGAGGCAGAATAAAATAAAACCACGTAGTTAAACTATACTTCAGGAACCATCTTCTACTATACATATTTATAAGATAAACAAATGCACGTGTTCTAATCACTCTCCCACTCTGATTAGATTACATATAGGAACATATTTATACACAAACACAATCGGTATCGCAAACATTATAGTCAATATTGAACCACACATATGAAGTGCAAAAACCAACCCTATTGTTACGATATAAGGAACTGTTAATCATAGTTTTAACGTATTCATTCTACTTTTTTCTAATCGCAGCGGTTCGTTTATTGTTCAGGTCTATGAGTACTAAGTAATGGATGATAAAAATAAAATAGTATATCTATGTTTTGTCATTAAGTCGTCATTAATTAATGGAAGTTTACTTAGAGCTTATGAGCCAGAAACCCCTTTTTTGAAATATCATATGTGTGAAATATTATTCTTAATAAATTATTATACCTCTTGAATACATAATCAATGAATTTTCGGAATACCAAACCAGAATTTTCCGGTTGAATTCAACAACTCAATTTTAATCGTTCATTCAGACCATTTGAAAATGGAACCCATCTAACGAGTTGCTGGGGCTCCGGCTCGAAGGGCAGGAGTAGGAAGGAACGGAGTGGTTTTTAATCAGTAAGAGTTCAACGCTCGCTCCCGCCTCACTTAGGTGGGAGAAGGGATTCGAATAACTCTTAGGCTACTTCCTTGTACAAACTGCTAAAGAGTGGAATTATTTACCATATTCTGTGTTTCCTGAAGGGTGAGTTGTCTTCAAGGACCAAGTGAATAGGTTTTGTATGAGCAGATGTACTCCATCGTAAGCCATCATTGCATACCACCAGGCGAGATAGTAGCCAAACGTCGGCCCAACAAAATAATATAAAAAAAAGAAATCGCACGATAATGCAGGCAAAGTCACTGGCAAAAGCTATAGTAGTTAAGTTGCAACAGAGTATTAGGACAAACATTAGTCTTCATGCTATGCTAGTAGAATAAATAAACCAAATACAATATACTATTTCGTATGACTTGGATGTTAGCCAAAATAGCATAGAAATGTATGACCCACTGTATTTTACTGAAACCGTGTCACGCAGTCACACTATCACAAAGATCCCATTGTTAGTGCTGTGAAACAGTTATGTTATGTCAAGGTTGAAAACTTAACTTATAATGAGTTCATTGAATCTAGTTTCATGAAGAAAATTATTTTGAGGTGTCGTCATTAAGTCGTTGATTTAATTTATCTACTGTTACAGTGAAGTAAAAGTAAAAAGCTATCGTCTGGATATCAATAAAAATACGTATTAAATCTTAAAAAGTATTTTCTTATTTTGTTCTTTTTAATAAGTGATGTTCCTGTAATCAGTTTTAGGTCTTGAACTTCTTTTTATAAGGCTTCCCTTTATGGCAAAGAACGTTGACAATAGGTTAGATGCCTAATTTTTATTTTAATGTTCGTCTGGTAGATTATTTTAAATCAATAGACACATATTTTTTATTTTCTTACAGAAATGAATACTTTCGATGATAGGTACCTATATTGATTTGAAATGTCGTGTGACGTCACTTGCATGTACATTTTATACGTAGAAATGACGTTTCAGACCCCACTTCTAAACTTTGATTAGTTTTATCTAAGTATTGTCTTCTTATACGACAAAATAAAAAATATGTGGCTTATATTTTTTCATTACCTACCTAACTGACGGACTAATTAAATTTTTAATTTTCATACCCCATTGACTCTAAATTAGATACTGGCCAATTTTGAACTAACAACAATTGCTTTCAACTAAAACTCATATTGATTGGTTAAACAATTCAGTTCAAACAACCCAGACTATATCAAAAATACCTATTAGTACAACTGCAGTTCAAATTCCCGCATTGCCACAAATATTGGCTTTTGCAGCAGCCGCCATGGCACATGGCCTGGCTTTGTGTGTATAAAGTCGACATTTTCAAATCGTTGTTTTAAATGTTTACACAAAAATAGTGGTTTTTGTACCCAAATACTAGGAAGAGAATTGATAATAATGTCTAAAATATTTTTAAGGTAATGCCTATTACCTTAAAAATATTCTACATATCAAATTCAAATGCAAATGTGTGGCTTTATAATCCAATTTATTGCAATAATCACAATCATAGTCCTGTCCACTATTAAATAAAATATTGCAATTTATTCTGATAATAGTTTTTTAATATACCCTTTGCTATAATACCATTTAATGGTTTATAAAACTCATACAAAGGACATAAAAGATTAACATTCACATCTCTATAGAAATAGCTTAATTTTATATCTTCATCTTTATAAACGTTAATGGTCCATTAATAAACAATAAAAGCCAATAACGTTAACATTAAAAGTATATTTTATAACTCCCACAACGATAAGTTAATAACAAAACGAACTGTAAAATTGTGAATAAACCTGCTAAACAAGAAAAAGCTACGGTCATTGTCACGGCAACTAGAACGACTAGTTTACCTCGAAACCTTACTGGCACCTTTGTATCTATTACCTGTTTAGTTCCTTAAAGTTTGAAACACAGTATTGAGAAGCCAGTAATGTATGTTGTCCAAAGCGGATTGTTCGACTATAGAAATGTCATTTCGTTGACGGCAGTTCCGTTGTATTTTGACAAGTTGTTTGCCGACTGCTCATAAGTGGGCCACCTGCTCGAGATGGGAGGTCACTCAACTTTAATGGTGACATATTTGTTATGTAAGTAAATGGAAATTGGTTATTAACATTCTTTTAAAGTGGACCTATGAACTTCGAGTTTTGAAGGTTAAGAACTCCTCTTTTTATTAACATAAAATGCGTTTTAATTGTGAACTAGCTTCTGCTCGCGACTTCGTACGCGCATTCCCGTTTTATCCCGTACCTTAATTTGTCTTAAGAACCTTCTCCTAAAAATAACAAATACAACAAAAAAATAATTACTGAAATCGGTCCAGCCATTCACACGTCATGCCGTGACCAAGGTAAATAGGGATTCATTTTTATATATACAGAAGATAGGAATAGACGTGTCGACAGGGTAAAAAAATCAAAAAAGTAATTAGTCCGTCATTAAGATCGCACGAAAATATCAGACACGTATTTTTTGTTTTATCAAATTAACAGAAGAATACGTAGTTATTTCGCATTAAAGTTAGGGAGTGGGGGGTGTTGACGTCACACTTACGGAGAAATCGTACCTAAGTGTGACGTCACGCGTCATTTTAACTCAAAATATCTACATGTTTTTTTGGATACGAGAAAAAAGAAAAAATACGTATCGAAGATTTTTAAAATATCTAAAAGACGGACAAAAAATTAAAAAATAGTCGCCATGCCTATTCTTGATTTGTACAAATAAATATTCAGTTACTTAGATGGAGATCTGCAAGTCTGATGTAGCAAGGTGGTGTAACTATTTTTTCTATAAATGTTCCCTAGGTCTAAATAAAGATCTTAGTGCCTAAGTGATAATTATAAAATAGCAACGAGTAAGTAAACAGAATGTTGTACAGCATTTAGTTTCATCAAACATAATAAAACGCCTACGGCATTAGTTACCTAGTACCCCAGGGGTAGGCATAGTTATGCCTAGCGAAATGTTGATAAATGTCAATGTAGTTACGACTAAGCCTAAAGCCAAACATCGGGCACGATTCCAGCATACAGTGCTATAACTAATAATACTCGATCGTAAACTAAAATTTAAGACGACTTATAATCTAACGTCCAACAAATAACGTTTATCTCTGATATATGTAAGTGTATCTATTTTATTTGCTCTATTAAATAATTGCTTGCTTCTTGCTCACACCATTTAACTCTTCTCTGCATCACCCAAAGGTCAGACTGGGAGAGAATGCCTGCGGCATTAAGTCCACCTTGTGTACATTTTGTGCATGAAGCTTTAAATAAATAAATAAATAAATAACACAACGAGTAATCCAGATTCCGGTAGTAATAAACTTGATAATTTCGAATAGATTTAAGGTTAAGCTCCTGAGAGCTTAATCGATGTAAATAATTTGGTCTCTCGGACAAGCAAAGTGTACTTTTTCCCCTTAATAGGTTCATTACAGTTTCTCATATATGGTTGGTATTTATAGAAACAGTAAAGACAGTTTCGTAGTTATTTCAAAGAAACGACTATTTTACAAAGCGAAAATGTTTTTTAACATTAAATAATCATAAAGTAACATAATTACGCCTTTTATCCCCAGAGGGGTTGACAGAAGTGCACATTACGGTACTTAATGCCACGGTACAATGTAACACCCACTTTTTACTATTTACGTTAGGAGTCCCATGTAGGTAATATGGAGGTGAGCCTATTG